AATAGTGTCCTCATCAAAGTGCTTGTAAATATTTTATACTCCGTAGTTAATGCAGACATCGCAGAGGCCAAGCAGGCTACTGCATGAAGCAGTCAGTCCACACTGTAGATTTGGATAAGCTGGAGAGTATGTAACCTACTTAAAAGCATTGAAGTTTGAGTTGGTTGTTGTTTTAACATTGGGCAGGGGAAGGGGAGACAAGGAATGGGAAGACATTTGTGGGCTTCATTTGGCTCTTTGTGCTATATAGTTTGCTTAATGCTCTATAGAGAAAAGGAGACAGTAAGATTTTACTATATAGAGCTGTTGAATCCTAACATTCCAGGGACAGAAGGGGCACTAAAGATTCTCTAAACTGAGACCCAGAGAAAGGAAGTGTTTTTTACCTAAATTAATCTCCAAATGACTACTTCTTTATTTCTTCTAAGTGGGTCTTAAAGACAGGGGGATTTGGAGATCTTTCTAAAGAGGGTATTTCTGTGTTTTTCCAATACAGTGACCATTACCACATGTACTTATTGAGTACTTGAAACGTGTCTAGTGCTATGGAGGAACTGAATTTTAAGTTTTATTTCATTTTAATTCATTTAAATAGCCCCACGTGGCCAATAGGTACCCTATTGGACAGAGAATCTCAGGTATTACAGTTTTCATTCCTTATCACAGTCTACCTGGAAGAAACATGAGCATCAGTCAATTTTACCTTCTCATAGAGAATATTTTAAACTGCTCATCTCCAAAATACAAGTTCAGTAATATTTTTTATGTTCATTCAGGTCAGTCTCATGGTGGTTCAGGTAGCGTGATTATTTTATGAATGGAGAGCAATGATGCTTTCAGTGGTACAAACTCCTCGAGTAAATCCAATCTTAGGCCAGCCCTTCAGGACATTATCTTGCTAGACTTGTGGTTCCCTGCTAATTGCTTCATTCTTTTATGGAGCAGGAAAGTGCTGAATGCCTGTTGCATACTCTCCTCCCCCCAATATATTGGAAAAGAGAGGAAATGTTAGCCAAAACCCATTTTGCAGTTTGTGACCCAATAAAAAGGGCCACGGATCAAGGATATGATTCATTCTGGGCCATTGTGAAAACAAAGGCTCGCTTTATAAACTGGAATGCTGTGCTCCCAGGATGGTTCTGAGCACCCCTGTGGGAAGGACAGAGAAGTGCAGGAAGGAACTTTTCTCCCCATGAATCCATTCATCATGCTCACGCTGACATGGAGAATTCCAGCTTGCAGCATCGGTTTTGATTTTCTCTTATGCTTCCTGTGGTTTCTGACTCTCAGGACGATCCTCACACAGTCAACGGTGGAGTATTTCTACAATTTATAATTTCTCAAATTATTTCAATAAAGGGAATATGGCTATTCCCATTCTAAAGGTACTTTGAAAGTTTGAAACTGAAAACTCTAGACGCGGGTATTGCATCTGCATTGGTGTAGGCTTGTGAGCTTGTGTTCTTCATTGGTGTCTTGGTGAATGCTTGCGTCTTAAGTTAAATTATTCAAGAAAAGTAAACCTAACAATGTTAGTAATTTTTAAATAAAATAATCCCTAAATGTCTAATACTATTTTGACCAAGGACAATCTATTTTTAAAAGATCCCCTCTACGTTGTTTGTTTTCTTTTGGTTTGATTGGGATAGGGAAACACCTAATGGGGAAAAAATCTTACATAACTTTCTTTGAAACTTTTTTTTTATTATTCTACAAGAGTAAGCATTTCTAATATGTTTGGCCTGGAATGTTCTTTGTTGGAATATTACAATTGAAGGTAGCAAGTAAGAAGTAAAAAAATAATTGTGTCCAACAAATGTCTGTTTGTGTGTTAAGACCAGGACTTGTACATCCTGGCCAATATCTCTTCCCTTCCCAGACAGGGTTAATACTTAGGATGCTGAGATGTTCCCCAGGAGGCAAAGAGATCGAGGGAGGGATTTATGCCTCCTGAAAAGGCCTGGGCTCTTTGCTCTTGTTCCACTGATTTCTTAGGTGTCAGACTATAGATCCACTCAGACTGGAGTTTTTCCCCTGCGAACCTGATAGAACTGTGGATCTATTAGCTGCCTAACAATATGGTCTTCTCCAGTGCCACACTGGATATGCTTGAAGAGAAGGAATAGATCACAAACCTTTATATACTCCATTTTTCACTGTATTTCATTTTCCTCGTTGCTTGGTTTATTCCACAAATACTTACTGGGAACATTATGCTGGTGAAACACAAGGGTAATAATAATAATAAAGTAGGAGTAATAATCTCCTACTTCCTATTCATTTGAAATTATATATTATAATACCATCAATGTTGATAGAAAAGATTATATAAATAGTATTTCACTGAAATAATTCCAGTATTGAGGGTGTTCATCGATATCAGGGATTCTAAGTTAAAGATAAATTAAAATTGCTATGTTGCCCAGTCAGTGTGGCTCAGTGTTTGAGGTCACAGTTCAATTCCCGGTCAGGGCACATGCCCGGATTTCGGGCTCCTTCCCTAGGAGGGGTGTGCAGGAGGCAACCGATCAATCATTCTCTCTCATCATTGATATTTCTCTCTATATATCCCTCTCCCTTTCTCTCTGAAATCAATAAAAATATTTTTTAAAATGTTATATTATGTTGATTAAAGGAATTCAATGTAACAGTAGTTTCTAGTAGTTCAAAATTCAATATTTTAGCTGCTAATGCATAAAAAGAAAAAATTCAACCCTAGTTGTTTCCTCCTTCTCAACTACCAGTGTCATCTTCCAACTTTTGTGATGCCTCCCCTGGGAACTACATATCTTATCCAATTTTACTTTCAGGATAAATTGCATGGAGGTAATAATAGAAAGCTAATGTCAGTCTGAGAGGAGATATTATAATGGGAAAGTACTCCACTGGAAAGAATTTTCAGAGTTTTATAGGTATCAAAAATATACTTATGTTATTGTACTTAACCCTTCTTACTACTTGGAGTTTCTATGTGAAAGGAATTTACAGTACATTCCTTTTTCTGATATGCCGTGAAATGCAAACTCTAATATAAGACTTGCCCTTTAACTGCTAAATCTTCACCACTGGCCTGGAAGTTCCTGCAGTGCAAGAGCTTGTGTTTACTGGCCATGTCCTCAACATCTAATCTGGCACAGAGTTCTGGACTCCTGGATTATTCGTTGAGTGCATTGATTTTGTGACTGCACAATTACATGTATGTATATGGTACCTTATAGCTTTCAAAGCATTTTCACTTAGGTTATAAGTGAACCCTAGTTGTTTCCTCTATAACAATAATTCTACGAGAAAGGTAGGACAGATGTTTTAATCAATGAATAAAATTTCAGTTCAAGTGGGTTGTAGCAGACCCAAGATAGGAGGAGGTCAAGGTCATAATAGTCCATTGGGTTTTTTTATTCAATTATTATCATTCAACAAATAGTTATTATTATAGACCTGTCACTATGCTAAATTTTTTAACTGGATTATCTTACTTACCCCTTGCAACAACCCCATGATACAGAACTATTTTTATCCCCATTTTAGAGATGAAGAAAATGAGGCACAACAAAGTTAGGTGACTTGTGCAAGGCAACACAGCTAGTGTCAGCACTGGGATTTAGGCTCCAGCAGTGAGGCCACTGCCTAAGCTCTCAATATGGCTAAACGGTTTTAGGGTGACCCTCTAAAAAGTATGGCAGTATGCACACATAAATCAAATAATTACCGTGGCAGTTTCTTAATGCCTTTATTAAATTAATTGTTGTTATAATAAATGCACTTTGAACGTCTCTGTAAGTTTATTAGCCAGAGATTATTGTTATAGGTTATAGATAAAAAGACAATACAAGATAAAAAGAAAAGAAATTTAGAATAAAGTAGTCACACAAGTTGCCAAGACTAGAAGAGAGGCAGATTATCATTCTTCTGTGATAGAATAAGGTGCCTCTCAAGTGACGGAGAATGAGTCTGAGAAAAATATATTCAAGGCAACTGAATATGTGTCAGGTCTCGTAAAAGATGCTGCAGTCAGAAAAGAGCCTACCACCGCCACCAAATGGGATGATCACAGCAGGGGGAAACCTCATTGGAACTCAGCAGTGTGGCTTTTTTAAAAAAATATATTTTATTGATTTTTTACAGAGAGGAAGGGAGAGGAATAGAGAGTTAGAAACATCAATGAGAGAGAAACATCGATCAGCTACCTCCTGCACACTCCCCACTGGGGATGTGCCCGCAAACAAGGTACATGCCCTTGACTGGAATCAAACCTGGGACCCTTGAGTCGGCGGGCTGATGCTCTATCCACTGAGCCAAACCGGTTATGGCAGCAGTGTGGCTTTTTAATGAAGATTCCTACCTGCCTATTACCGTATAAATGTCTGGACTTCTGTCTCCAACTTGATCTCTCTTCAGCTACTTATTAATGAATGCACCTCACCCTATCTCAACTATCCAGGGTAGCTGAAAACACACTAAACTTTAAGAGAGCAGAAGCCTAGAGAGAGTTCTACTACCAATAAGCTGCAGTAATTGAGGGTATGAGGACTATTTATGTGGGACGAATATGTTAAAATCAACATTGTTTTAAAGGGAGTCTCATTTACATATGCAAAACAGGGCAATAATGAAGGAGGAAGGGTAGACTAGAACCACTAACATTATTTATAGCCTGTGAAAACCAAAGGCTAAATGTCACGATGATAACAGAGAGACCATTGGACCTGGACTGCCCATCTTGGCAAGTAATATGCTGAGGTGGCCTTGGGCAAGTCTTGTCACCTCTAAATCGTCATTGCCATGGTGGTCATGTTCTGTAGGTTGAATTTTAAATCACATCTCATCATATTTACGATAAATAGGTAAATTCATCACATGCTTTTTAAATGTTTTTCAACTACATGAATAAATATGTGTCTGGTGTGTCATATAAACTTATTTAACATTTTGGTACTTCTGCTGAAAGTTATTCTCACACCCAAAGTCATCTTTCCTTACTCAGATTTTCTCTTTCATAGAGCAAATTGGCCAAGAGATGTTGGAAAACCTCAGTCACGACAGAGAAAAGATACAGAGAGCACGTGAAAGAGTAAGTAGAAGTGATACCATCTTTTCACAAATTCAATAAATGATAAGACATGAAACTAAGGGTCTTTGTGACAGTCACAATCACATAGATGTAAGTATATATGAAAACTAGAAGCCCAGTGCACGGATTCGTGCACCAGTGGGGTCCCTCGGCCTGGCCTGTGCGCTCTTGCAATCCGGGACCCCTCATGGGATGTCGGAGAGCTGGTTTCGGCTTGATCCCCGCAGACCAGGCTGAGGGACCCCACCGGTGCATGGGGCCTCTAGATCTTTGATTATTCTCTTCCCACCCCCGCCCCCTTCCCTCTGAGATTCATCAGTCTGTTCCATGTTTCCATGCCTGTGGTTTCCGCTCCTACCTTGAGCGTCTGCCCCCTGCTGGTCAGTGCGCATCATAGTTACCGGACGGTCACTTAGGCTTTTCTTCATATAGATGGCTAGGAGGATGGAGGGATGAAGGATAGAAGGCGAAACAGAAGAGTGTGGGATCTAGAAAAAATAAGTTGCCTCTTCATGTCCCCATCCTGAAATGCTCCCACAGCGACATTTTATTTAGCTCTATTGGTGAAAAGGTCATTGAGGGAGACTTTGAAGTATATCAGGTTTTGGAGTGAAATCTAAAAACATTGGTCTCATCCTTCCTCAAGTCACTCTGCTTCCATTTATAGTACCAGAACTTTGCACATTCACAAATAGGAAAACTAATAAATTACCGATATATATCAAACTTTGTCAGCCTTTGAGACATTTGCTTTTATATCCAGTTCAAGTATCCAGTTTAAAGCTCCTGGGATTATCAATCTCATGTAGTTTTCTAAATCTAAGAATTTCCAGAGATGGAACATGTGTCAAAAATGTATTTCAGTGCATTTTTTATGAATTAGATTTTCTATCGTGAAAGAAAATTATTGTTTGCCAGTGCACTTTAAAAAATAATCCAATAGCCTTCAGTTTTGTTTTATTTTAATGCGCTCTTCTTCTCCTAGCTTCGGGAAACAGACGCTAACTTGGGGAAAAGCTCCAGGGTCCTGACGGGGATGTTGCGAAGGTAAGAGCAAGGTAGGGACCCAACTTTCTCTCTCTCCCTTTTTTTAACTGTGTTTCTCCTCTTATTGCAACCGGGCATTTTTCAAGCATGCAGGCTTCTGCTCTCAGTACCCTGTGTCGAGACCCTTTTGAAATGCCAGAGCACTGATATTAACTCTTGTTTGGACAGGGACACGTTCTGCGCACCTTAGATTAGAGAGAAGGTTTGAGCTAGAGGGGTTACCTCAAGCTATGGGAAAAAATTAGGGTTAGACATGAAGTATTTTTTCATAGCCTGAGGAAGGCCCCATGGCAGGAGCTGCGTGATTTTATTTTCTATTCCGGTAGTCTCTTTCTTAGAGAGGGAATGCAGGCCTGCAGTATCGGGAGCACCCCTGGTATTAGCTCTGTGCCATTGCCTTTGTTTTTATTTCTTTTTAAGTGATGCTATTTGGGGCAATATCTCGATTTTATGTATACTTCAAGATGGTTTTTATAATTTAAAGCAATCTGGATAATCTGAATTCACATGTGTGAGCAAACAAATGTTAATGTTTTATATGTGTAATTAAACTTTGATGGAACATACTTGGGAGAGCTTGGAAAGAAATGAATGAGTGCAGGTAATTAATTTTGTTTCCATTGGTCTGAAAATTGGAGCCATTTTTCCTTTGGTATATTCAGCATGTAATTATTTTACATTCAGAGTCTAACAAATAAGAGCATTATGAAGCATAACCTTCCATTTGGAGCTGTGGATAGAAATGTGAGGGGGGAGGGGGGAGGTTGAGAATTGCCTCTAGAATAGCTTAATTGGAATTTAAAGAAGAGAATCATTTTTCTCATTGATATTGTAGAGACAACTGTTTGAAAATAAGTCTTCTCTGATCGTGTGTCAATAGATAATAATTTGCTGAAAGTATGTTTGCTGGGTTAGAGATTGATCGCGTAAGAACCAATCAAAGGTGGGGTTGCTGAGTCTCCAAGGCCGGAGTGATTTCTCTATCAGGCTGATCAGCAGGGAGTCTCAAGCTCTGGGCACTTTCAGCCAGTGTTGACCCAACTCCACACGCCCCTCCTTTTCCTGCACATATCGTTGTGATTCAGGACCATAAACCACCCAATTCTCTGATTAAGAGTAATACATAAATGACCTAGAAAAATTCAAAATCCACCGAGAAGTGGCTAGTGAAAGGAATGCTTCAGTGCCTGTAGACAATAAGAAAGAAAAAAAGGGAACACCCTCCCTGGCTTCCCTGGGAGGCCCCGCCATGTGAGCTGTAACGAGCATTCTGCATATGTCTCCATTTCGTCAAATCTCATTAAAGAGTCCTCCTCTTCATGTCAATGGAGCTGTCTAGGAATCATTCATCATTTTTAGTGTAAAAAAAAATCATGTGGTTATTTAAATAATATCATATTAATGTTAAAGTTCAGCTGTCATTTAATGGTATGGCTTAATCAGATGTAGCATTTAGGAAAAATAGTTTATTCGGGCCGTCCATGGCTTTCAGGTTGGCAGATTCAAATCAGGATTTATGAGTTTCTAAACCAGTATATTTTTGTCCGTGTTTCTGCTTGATGTACCTCACCCTTCTGTGCAGGGCACCACCGACAGTTATTTCAACAAATAAAGCATCTCCTCGTATTGCGTTTGAATAAATTTGCAAATCATTTAGAGAGGGTGAAGCACAAACAACTTCTGCAACCTCTGACGGGGCTTTCTG